CTCACCCTGACTTCCAGCAGCACTTCCTCACTTGGTAGCTGCTCACGGTCCAGGGGCGCACTCACAGTGATGGTGCCCGTCGTGGCATTGATAGCAAAGGGGATGCTGGTATCTATGGCAAGGGGACGGCAGGAACCCGCTACAGCCACTGGAAATACAGGCCTGACCTCTCTCTGCCAGCAAGGGCAGGCTGGCAGTGCTTGGGAGTCCAGAATCATTCCCTGTGGTGACCCTTGTTTCCTGATCCCCCACCTTGCCCATCCCACCCTGCCACTGCTTACCCCCTGCCCATGCTGCCCTGCCCCATCACTCACTGGTGATGCTGTAGAAGATTTCATCATTCACCCCTGTGTCTCTGTCCATGGCAGTGACTGTCAGCACACTGGTGCCCTGCAGGGACATGGCCATCAGGGCAGGACCTATGATGTCTTCAGCCACCCCTGTGCTTGCTGGCCCAGCCACCCTGGGGACATGCCACTGTGGCCAGCAGGCTCCTTACCAGGTTACAGTTCTCAGGCACGGAGCCAGAATAGGGCTCGTTGAGGAACCGTGGGTCCAGGTTGGGCACATCAGTGATGGTCAGGGACAGGTAGGCTGAGCTGTTCTGGAAGACCATCACGTTGTGCAGCAACCCCCCGCCATCCTGGGGACCAGAGCACCATTAGTCCTATGGCCCCCTTACCTGGCAGCTCCGCACCCTCAGCCTGGCTGTTTCCCACCTTGGCGAGGATCTTGATCTGGTAGAAGGTGTTCTTGGCATAGTCCAGTGAGCCATTGAGCACCACATTCCCATTGGGCCGGACGTAGAAGAGCCAGTAATTGTTTGCGTTGTCTGGGATCACCTGAGCAGGGAACATCCCTCTGTGTCACCAAGGCAGGGAGCAGAGGTGCCCCAGCAGAGATGGAGGCTCAGCCCCATCCTTCTGCCAGTCTTGGCCACTACATCTCCAGATTGCAACTGATCAGCACCTTGCACCCACTGCCCAGAGGGTGCAGAACCAGCCCTCCTGACCCAACATACCGCTCCCCCACACCCCTAGGGCTGCCCCTGGCCAGGTCACCCAACACCTCTGCTCCATGGGGGTGGCATGGGATACAGCATGCCCCACTCTGCAATGTGCTGTGCTCACCTCCTCGATGCTGTAGCTGACTTTGGAGGCATTTCCAGTGTCACTGTCATTGGCAAACACGGTGTAGATGATGCTGTCCAATGTTGTGTTCTGGGCACACAGCAGGGTGGTGGTGGCATTGTGCAGGAGAGCAGAGGGGGTGAGATCAGGGGTGGTGGTACTGAGCCTGGCCCTGCCAGCCCTGCTCTGTGGTGCTCTGGCCCCGCAGGGTTCCAGGGGCTGCCCAGCGCTGTGGGACTCTCAGGGGTGAGCTGCTGCCTTTGCTCATATGGGGCAGAGGCTGGATTCCCCCCCGCCACCCTCCCTGGCTGCTGGAGGGCCCTCCAACAGTCAGTCCCTCAGCCCATCTGCACCCTGATCCACCTCACCCTGGCCTGGCCTGAACCAGGCACTCCCTGATCAGAAACTCATCACAAGGGCAGAGTCCCAGCCAGGCACTGACGTCTCGGACTGGGATGGAGGGTTGTGTGTTGTGCCCCACGCCCAGGCACAGCATCATACCTGGGTGTGGGTTCACCTGTTCCCTGCACACTGGTGTCCTGCTGCCAGCACACCCATGCCACAGGAGTCACCCAGCACCCCTGCCCTGCTGCCTGGGGAGACTGGGGGTCCCAAGGAGGTACCTCAGGGATGAAGGCTTCATATGGCAGGTACTGAAACACTGGAGCGTTGTCATTACGGTCATCAACGATGATGGTGAGTTTTCTGGAGACCTACCAGGCATCAGGGAGGGCATGGGATGGGTGCAGGAAATGGCACCCAGCACCCACTCTGGCTCCAAAGCCAGCAGCATCACCCACCCCTGGCCAAAGCCCACCTCAGCCCTTTCCCCATCAAGTCTTGTCAACAGCCCCACTGAGACCCTGCTCCCGTCCGCATCACCTGCTGCAGCCCCCAGCCTGTGCCCCAGCACTCACTGCATTGTTTATCCCATCAGACACTTCGACGGTGATGGTGAGCTTGGCCTTGACCTGGGGGACACAAGGCAGGACGTGGTCAGGGCCAGGAGCAGCTCAATCCTTGGACAACGGAGCCCTAACACCCTGCCACCCACCACCCCTGGGTGGGATGCTGCTCCCAGGCAGCTCTTCCCCCTGGAGCTGGTCTTTGAGGCCAGGGAGTGACCCACAGGAACTGCCATGAGCAGCTCTCCCACAGGACTCAAGGCTCTGCCTCCATCCCTGTCACCTCAGAGCCCCAGCTCAGTCTCTGCCCTCACCTCACGATCCAGAGAGTTCTTCAGTGTTGCAATGCCTGTCTGGGCATTGACAGAGAAGTAAAAGGCGTCCTCCCCGCTGATGCTGTAGGTGAGTGGGTCCCCGTCTATGTCAGTAGCTGTCAGCTGGAAAGCCTCCTGGCCTGGGGGCATAGGCAGGGTCAGCCTCTGCCCAAGGACCCTCAGCCACTCCTCTTGCACCCCAGGACCTTCTCAAGACTACCCCACTCACCCAGCTCCAGGTCCTCAGGCACATGGACGATAGTCATGTTGAAGAAGGGCACTGTGTTGCCTGAAACTACAAGCAGGAGGTGTGCTGAGCACCCACTTTTGTGCCCTGCACCCCCATGTCCACTTATCTCTAGCCCCAGCTCCCAGCTGCAGTTTGGGTCTCCAGAGAAGGCAAAGGACACCTACAACCTCTCACCTTCCTCATGCTCATCCCACACCTCCCACCTCCAGACCATGCTTGTCCTCCAGCTGCAGCACCCATGCTGGATGCTATCCCCACTGCCCCCTGCCCACTCTGCCTTGTCCTGGGGTAGCAAGATTGCCAATGACTCTCCAAGGTGCCAGTGGGGTGGGCAGCTGTTCTGGGGGTCCCAGCTGCCCTCAGAGAATTCATAACAAGTGCTGGGGGCTGAAAGCACTTCTAACACCTCCCATCCACCCATGCCCACCACTGAGCAAAGTCCTCACCTGCTGCCAGGAGAAAGGGAAGCACCACCAGCGATCGCCGTCCCATCCTGCCAGCAAGCCTGTGGGCACACACTAGAGAATGAGCGCCCGGGGCTGAGGGTCCCTGCTCCCAGCAGCCACCCCAAACCCCTCCTGGGGAGAGGCCACTGGGATAGGAGTGACCTTGCTGGGGCTGTCACCTCTGCTGAGCCAGGCTGGTGAGCAAGCATCAGGCTCCACGCTGTACCTGTGGGCACAGGCTTCTTGAGGACATGGCATGCAGGGGATGGGGTTGGCCTCCAGGTGCTGGAGACCATGGGGGTGCTTGGGGACCCCAGGACCCTCTTCTGGGCATGACTGGAGGCTCCATTGCTCCAGCTCATGGGGCCAAAGCAGTGCTTAGAGCCCAAGAGCAATCTGTGACACCACCATGGTGTCCCTCTCCTTGTGCCACGGGTACCACTGCCAACAGGTACCCCCACTGACAGGTACCCCCATCTCCCACCACGATGGACCACAGCACCAGTGGGGGACCAGGCCCCAGCTGACATCTCTTACCTGTGGCCCCGTCACTGGGGATGCTGCTGGCCAGGCTGCTCTGCGCTCGCACCTTGACACTGACAGAGACCTTTGCCTCCTGCAGTAAACAAATTCATCAATTATTAACCACAATTAAGGGGTGAGAAATCCCTCTCTCACCTTTCTTATTGCTTGTGCTCACTTCCAGTCCCTACCCAGCCCAGCCCCACACTCTCCCCAGACCCAGCCTCCCAAGTAGGGTGCCTTCCCCCGGGATTCAGCCATCCCAATCTTCACTGATGGGACTGTGCCGCCCAGGAGGGATAAAGAGCCTGTGGGGATGTGGAGGGATTCTGAACCACCCCAGGGGACTGGAGAGGGGCTGGGGAAATGCCCTGCATCCCCTGGGCTGGGGATACTGGGGTCTCACCAGGACAAGGGGTGGGCAGCTGCCCAGGGGTGCAGCTCCTGGGGTGAGTTCCTGGAGCCCTCTGCACCCCACTGCCACCCTCTCTCCTCCCTGGGGGCTCGGCCCAGCCTCCCTGACCTACTTTGGACCTGCTGGGGACAAGGGCGGATTGTGCAGCTCCACTCAGGCAGAAGAGGGCTGGGATGTGGCGGGGGGGCACAGACATCCCTCGGCCTGTGGGACCCCCACCTCCATTACCCTGGTCCCCAGACCCCTAATTCCCTGGGGAACCTGCGGGGTCTGGATGCCCAGGAAGCTCTGTGATCCCCCCCAGACACCCTGCATGCTCCGAGGTCCCCATCTCACCTCACTACTGGGTCAGGCACCCCCTGGAGAAAGGGTACAGGGGGCCAGCCTGGCACCCTGTGCCAGCAAGCCCCTCCAGGACTGCTCCAGGATCTCCCAGCCCATGCGAAGGCTGCCCTGGGACACCCCACAGACACCCCATTAGCTGCTGGGGATACCCCTGCAGCCCCTCGGGGCTGTCTCATGATGACAGGGGAGGCCTCTGAGCCTCCCGGTGATGACGCTGGACACCCCCTTGAGCACTGCCCCTGTCTGTCCCGGGGTACCCCCGCGGGCTGTCCTGGGACATCTTCCCCAGCATGGCCTGGCCCAGCCCGGTTCGGCTTTACACTTCTTGGCATGGCTCAGCTCAGCACGGCTCAGCTCAGCACGGCACGGCTCAGCTCAGCACGGCTCAGCTCAGCACGGCACGGCTCAGCTCAGCACGGCACGGCTCAGCACAGCACGGCACGGCTCGGCACAGCTTAGTTTGGCTCGGCTCAGCACGGCTCAGCTCAGCACGGCACAGCTCAGCTCAGCACGGCACGGCTCGGCACAGCTTGGTTTGGCTCGGCTCAGCACAGCTCGGCTCTGCTCAGCACAGCACGGCTCGGCGCGTTGTTGTGCGCTGCCGCTCGGAGCATTACGGCCGCGCGGTTCGGATGGCGCCGCTCTTGGCCGCAGTACGGCGGAGCGGGGCGGGCGCCCATCGGTGCGGCCGGTTCCATCGGGGCGGCGGGCGCGGGGGCGCCATGAGGCGGGGCTGAGGCCGGAGCGGGAGCGGCGCCGGCACCGGGACGGACACCGAGCCCGGCGGGCCCGGCCGCCGCGCCATGCGAGCGGGCTGAGCGGCGGGCAGGGCCGCGGCAGGCACCGAGCGGCCCGCGAACGCCGAGGGAAGCGCCGCCGGTAGGTTCGGGGCGAGGCGGCGGCCGCAGGCCTGGGCTGCGCGGGGCAGGGCCGGTGCACCGGGAAATAGGCGGCGGGTAGGGCCTGGGGCTTGCGGGAGGAGCAGGGTAGAGCTGGTGCGGAAGGGTGCGAAGCCCGACCCCGGCGCACCGGGGGAGGGCAGCGGGCAGGGGCCCGTGCGAGGGGGGCGGATGCTCGAGGCTGCGAAGCCCACTGCGGCGGGCGGAGCAGCGAGTGGGGCCCGGTGCGCGGCGGGCTCCGGTGCGGAGGCTCGGAGGGGGCGGATGGCCGGGGCAGGCGGGGTCCGGTGAGCCGGGGCCGGGGCCTAGCTCAGCCCTCGGTGTGGGGGGGGTGATGGCTGAGTGGGGCACCGGGGCCGTAAAGGGCAGCCGGGCCCTATGCACCGGCAGGCGCATGGCGGTGGGAGGAGTCCCCGGTTCTCGGGGAGCCCCTTCTGGGAGGCGGCTGCCTAGGACATCGGGCAGGGCGGTGGAACCGGAGCCTTGCCGCCCCTCGGGGCCTTGCCAGCAGAGCGGGGGTTGCCCTGGCCGTAGCCCCGTCTCGGGGGCCTCCCGCGTTCACCGGCCGGGCCTGAGCCGGTGGCTCCGGCCGAGGCCGGTTCTGCGGCCCCGGGTGCCCCGTCCGCCGCTGCCGGAGCCCCAGGCCCCCCAGCCTGCCCCGGGTTCGGTGGACAGGGCCGGGCTCGGGGCGAGACCCCGGGCGTGCGGGAGGGGAAGTGGCCAAACTCTGCAGGAAGTTGTACACGGGGAAGAGGTAGGAAAGGGATGAGCCCGAGCGACAAGGGGTGGGGGGGCACCGAGGCCATGGGACAGGGGGGACCCCTGTGTGGGGCCGCAGCAGCCGGGTTCTGCAGAGGATGCATGGGGCAGGGCTGTGGGCAGCTGGGGTGTGCTCCAGGGTTTGCTCTCCTGGGCAGAGGTTGAGCCCGGCGGGCAGCCTGTGGCCAGGCTGGTGCTGTCCCTCCAGATGGGGACAGTCCCTCCTCTCACGAGTGTGGCTCGGTTTTGTGCTGGCATCTCGGCCACAAGCTCTGCATGGCCCCATGCTCCAGCACAGCTGGTTGTGCGTGTCTGCAGCTCTGGAGCGTGTCCCTGTGCTCCCTCCTCACTGTCCTGTTTCACTGCCTCACTCGGTTCCTTTGCCACCTTCACCTGCTTCTGCTCTGCTGCCGGCTCGGGCTCCCCAGGACCCTGACTCCCACCCTGGGGAGATGCGCAGGGCAAAGCCTGGGGGAAAGAGGTCAATCCCCAGGGCCCAGAGCCCCAGAGGAGCAGCGGGCGCTGGCCGTGGCGGCGGTCGGAGGGGAGCTGCGTCTGATGTCACTGCGGTGCATGGTGGGTAATTATGCACGTTGCAATGAAAATAATAAGGCCGGCTCCACAGTGGTGTCTAAAAATACTGCTAATGCAGAGCGCCTGCTGGGTGCCTTTGTTTGTCACCTATGGGTGATTGCTTCGAGGCTGGCCCGGCAGTGGGAACCATGCTCTGCAGCGTCACGTCCCTGGGGCAGTGGGTTTGGTTTAGAAGGTGAACTGCGGTCCCTCTGCGCCCCTCCACATTGGGCAGTAGAGCTGGGGCAGGTATGGCCACCGGAGGTGAGAGCCACTTCGATGTGATTGAGAGGCTCTGCTCTCACCCCCCTGCACGCTGCCCTGCACACAGTTGCAGAGGGGTGGTGTGGCTTTGTCCACCCCAGCCTTGCTTGGAGCTTGGTGCTCTGGCTAGTGGCTAATTCCTGCATCATAGCGATGATCCTGGAATGGTACCAGTGTGCTAGCCTGCCTACAGGCGGGTTGGTCTAGATGAGGGCTCAGGCCCAGGTCGTGTGGTCTGTCTGTCACTGGCACTGTGGGACTGCCCCTGCAAAGTGTCCTGGCACCAGCAGACAGGGATCTTGCCCTTTCTGTCTGAGCAAAGGTGGGAGGGAGGCATGTGTGTCTGTAGCAGAGGGAGTTGGTGTGATGGGTGTTGACCCAGTGTGCTGAGCTCCGCTCTGTGGGCAGGCAGGCGCTCTGCCTGGCCGCTGCCTGTGCAGCTCTCGCTGCTGCTGTGGTCCCTCCATCTGCTGCCAGGAGCTGGAAGCTCCCCGCTGCAGCGGAGGGAGAGCCTTGCAGGGGTGGTGAGGACCATCTGGAGCCCTGGCTGCTATAGCCACAGGCCTGGCACACTGGCGGGGACAAGGCGGTGAGTGGCAGGGCAGCAGTGGAGAGCTGGGAAGGGCAGGAAATGGTGTGTGCTTGGGAGTGGGGAGGTCGGAATGGTGGTGAATGCTCTGGGTTCCCACTGATGCTTGTAGAGGGGCTGCAAGAGCTGAGCCTTGTCCCTCCTCACCTTGCAATGAGTGGAGAGGTGTCTCCCAGCCCACGTGCTGCCTCACCTTTAGGGTCATGGCTGTGTTTTTGGGGCTTCATGCTGGGCCCTCCTTTCACTAGAGGGGGAAGCATCACCACTGCTTCAGCTCTTGCCAGGTGCTAAATCTGACCTCTGAAGCCACCACACATGGCAGCAGTGTTCCCTGGAACAGTGAAACACGCTGTCCCTACCTGCTGTGCTGTGTGGGTCCCTTCTGATGTGTGAGAAACAAAGGACGAGGAGAGGAGACTTTGTGAGTGCCCATTGATTCGCGTGGTGGAAGCTGCCTGCTGTGTGTTTGCGTCTGCCTGCCTGGGACTGGGGACTCTGTGAGGGGCATTGATCAAGCTGTAAAACCCAGAGGCAGCTAATGAAATAGGGACTATAGATTTTTATTTTAAATGGAAGAGAGTTTAGGGGAGATTTAATTATCCCTGGTTTATGGACCTGTTAGAGGAATGAAATAGCAGCTGGCAGGTGGGGCCTGTGCTTCAGCTCCCAGCACTTCTTCCAGGTGTCTGCAGGGCTGGTGAAGTCCTGTCACCCCAGGGCCGTGGTGGGGAGTGAAGTCACTGGGAGCAGAGCAGGAGGGGGTGACGTCCTGCTTGTCCTGCCAGGTGTCCCTGTGTCCTCAGTGCTCATATAGCAGAGGGACTGGCGCTGGGGAGGTGGGCTCCCAACTGAGCAGGGGCCTCTGTAGGAAGAGCTCTCCTCATAGCTAGGGCTTGGTGTGGGCCTTGTGCTGGTGGACACTGGCGTGTCCAGGAGCCCCATGCTCGCTGGGCTGTCTGCATCCAGGTGTGCTTTCCCTGGGGCTGTGGGCACTGAGCTCTTGGTACCTGTGCAGAGCGTGTGGGATTTGTGAATGAGAGCTGGGATTCGCTGGGATTTGCTGTGTGTCGGACACAAGCTCTAACACTGTCACTCCAGCACTCCTACTGTATGCATCCACTTCACCATCACGTGAGGCCGCAGGGCACAGCTGGGGAGGTGCTGCTGGGGTTGGCAGGAGAGCGTGGAGCTTTTGGATGCTTTTGGGTTTTAATCTCTGAATTAAGGAGCTGGTCCATGGTGTTTTCCCACCATCCCTCGGCTCCCTGCTTGGGGTGAGCTGGAGAAACATGGTTTAACACCAGCCCAGTGCAGGGAAACAGTTGGCCAAGGGGTCTGCATATAGTCCATGGGGTGTCAGTCTGATGTGTCCAGAGGCTGCTAAATTATTGAGGAAGCTGCTGGTGCTCTCCCAGAGCCCTCTGACATTGGTGTGGCAGGAATTTGGGAGAGCAAGTCCCTGAGCCCTGTGGTCACAGAGCTGCATGAGAATGTTGGGTGGCTCCAGGTCAGTTCTGGACAGGAACAGTGCGGGTCCATGCTGGCAGCTCACAGGAGTGCTGGGGGTAGCCAGCCTGCCTGCTCTCTCAGCAGCAGATTCACCCCCAGGGCACTTACCCTTTCCAGCTGTGTGCATGGCAAAGAGTAAGGCGAGCAGTGTCCTCAGCAAGCAGCACTCGTGACAGGCCTTGGGAATACTATTTTCCGGCTGCAGCCTGGTCCCTGGAGACCTGGCCTTGCTGGCTGTGGAGATGTGGCTGTGGGCTTTCCTTGGCTACCCTGGGAAGCAGGACAAGGGATTTCAGCTCAACCATGGCCTGCAGTGGTGTATGTTAGCAGCTGCTTCCTTTCAGGTGAGCCTGTGTGGTGGTGCCAAGGGCTCCAGCACCTCTTGCTGTCACCTCTGGGAAGGGAGGGCTCGTGCTCTGGTCTTTCATCCCCTCAGCCTGGCAGCGCTGAGCCGCGGTCCCCTCGGGCAGGTTGTCTTTTTCCTGCTGTGCTGCTGGGGCTCTCTGGCTGCGTTTGCATTTTGAGCCGAGTGTCTTAGTTGCTTTTCTGTCCATGCCTGTGCTTTGGGGAAGTGGTGAACAATAAAGACCTGCTGTGGAGAGCTGTAGCAGAGGTCAGCCAGCTCCTTTGCCCCAGGCTCCTCTGCTGTCACTGCACAGTTGCGCTTTATGCACAGGGGCTGTCAGCTTGGAAGTCATGTTTTTGCTCCTAAAACCGTCCCTAGGCACTGATGTGGGGTTCTCTGTGGGTGATGGACTGGGTATTGCAGCGAGCCTTCTTCATGCTTAAGGCTGTGGTCACTGCCTGTTTCGGTGCATCTGGTAAGCAGCCTGTTGGTAAATTTCATATTAAGGACAAAAGAGGGTAAATGGTTGCTGGAAATCAGGAATTTCTCTGAGTTCCTTTGTGAGAATGCTCGTTGCAGGTTGTCGGTGTCCCTGCAGGCTTCATAAAATGCAAACCAAAACACCCAGCCCAACTTCCTGACTGTCACTGGCACTTCCAAGAGAAGCTTCGTGTTACTGAGCAGTAATGAAATTGCTCCTCACTGTCCACCAACTTCTGGCTCTGCCGTATCCTTTCCCTGGAGCCACCACTCCAGCCACTGCTGCTCTGCCTGAGCCCAGCCTGCGGAGCAGTGGGGAAGGTGTCTGCAGCCCAGCCCCTCCTGCCCTCGCTGCTTGCTTGGCAGATGCTAACACAGTCCACAGCATGTGGAGAGTGGGCTGGACTCAGAGGGATGCTTGTGGAGCGGTGGCAGGTGAACTGGGGACATCCAGGGATGC